TTGTTAGTTTGGCGATGAGAGCTTTCATTTGACACAAATATGTGCCACCTTTTCGCTTATCAACACACACACCTCCATTGTAAGAAATAATGATCCCATATTCGAATTTTAAACATAGAATCTATATAAGTCGTATGATCAGTTAAACTCGCCACGTACAAGTCAATATGAGTCGCAACGAATTTAGTTGTTGTCGACGATCCTATAATAATAGTTGATAAAATTAAACATTAAAAGTATTATTTTCAATACCAGTAACATCAATGGCTACCGAAAAATGTTTTCTTTTTTCGATTTCACATTTTTTATCTTCTTCGTTCGGCTTATGTATCACAATATAAACTGAACCAGCTTCTGTAACATCGTTGAATTCAATTGGACAAAGCATATCAGGTCGAGATATATTAATTTTGTCATGTCTTATTCCCATATAAATTCAATTAAGAATTAATTTAATATCTATAATGAGAAAAGAGTACATATAATATTCATTAAGAACAGTTTTTTTCATTATCTAATATCAAAATTTTCTCAATAAATAATGTTAAGACAAGACAACAAAAACAACAAATTTTTAATCTTTATAGTTATTGATAACAGAAACGAATGAATCCTTAAACGATAATATAGATGTCACACTCAGAGCTGCCAACAGGCCACTTTTTTCCGGCCTGGCCTGGCCTGCTCTAACTTGGACAGGCTGCCCTGTCAGGCTAAAAATTAAAGATCATCCTGCCGCCTGGCCTGGCCTGGACGGACGGGCAGGCGAAACCAGGCTGACTGATATTTTAGAATTCTTTGTTTCATTGATGGTTGTATGGATCTTTTCATATTGCCCACAACAGATGAGTGTTGTTTCATATAGGCCGTTCCGCTGTGTTGTCCATAGCAAAGTTTTTCACATATTCGACAACTTGCACGTCCGACAACTCGTTCAAAAATCACTTGTGTCTGTGTTGAGTTTAGATAAAGATTCGAGTACAGACTAATAAATGGAAATAGCTGATGACGCACTATTATCAATAATACGGTAATTTTCTGTCTGATATCTTAATAAATCCTATAGATGCTCACTAGAGTATGACGACGAATTTAAAGAAGATGGTGATGAAACAATTGCGTTTGAGAATACGTTAATTACAGATGTTCAGGGTAAGCATTTTCCGTACCCTAACCTTACCGCAAGAAAATTTCTTTAACCTTAATCCTGTCCAACCCTGTCCCAGCCTTTCGGATTAGGAGTGATGGAGAGTCTTTCTTCGGCAAAAATTGGAAACTTGTGTGTTTTTCTGCAAAAATTTCTGATACTTTCTGCCAAATTTCTTAAAATCACGTAGTAGATTCTGACAGAAACATGGTTTTCAAGAAATATTCACCGTTTTCCAACAGAAAGTCTAATGAAAACACGTTTTTTCCTGCAAAATCTCACAGAAAACTGATGATTTTAACATCCACTGCTCGGCTTCCTCCGAAAAAGCCAGATCAGACACTTTCTGCCAAAATTTTCAGACTTTCTGGCGAACTTTTAACCCCTCCCATGTCTCAAAACAATCGGGAACCCTGTCCTGTCCGGATCAAACCTTAACCCTGTGTTATCCTATTATCTTTGACAGTAGTCCTATCCTGATCCTATCATATGGAGCTGATACCCTCATTCTACCCTACAAGATAGAATAGGATGAAGTTACCCTGCATATCTCTACTTCTTTTTTGTATAAATGCACTCTGATCTTAATCTAGTCTCTGAACCTCTCACCTCAACCCTACCCTAACTTATCGGTTTTTCACCCAATCCTACTCTACCCGGTAAGGAACGGCGAAACAGGGTTACTCTGCACATCGCTCATATTAATAGATGAAGAAAAAGATGATGATGAAGCATTTGTATTTGAAGATGCTGGAATAGAAAAGGTAGAAGACGAAAACGATAAAATAAAAATATCATCTAATGACTTTATTTAACCGAACTTATTGCCTATTAAAAAAAACACAAAAACAAAACATGTTGTTGCTCTCCGACTACATAGAGGAATTGTTTCCACATTCCATTGAAATAAATTAGCCATACTTATTGCACTCTTTTTCGTATTTATTAGAATCATTCAGTCTTTTTATGTAATAGACTATTCACTAATCATAAACGACCATATCAGTGAACAAAATCATCAAGTTATGGCGTCATGCCATATTTTAAAATGACTTGAAGAATTAATACTACATGAGACCCAGGCTGATAACTTTCGCCTGGCCTGGCCTGCAGGCCAGGCCAGAGATATCGTGGACGGATCAGGCCAGGCCAAAATTTTAAAATTCAGCCTGGCCAGGTGGCCTGGCCTGACAGGCCACCCGGCGCCTGCCAGGCAGCAGGCCAGGCCGGCAGCTCTGGTTAACAGGACTATACAAAAAAGTACTTTCAAGTCTAAAAAGAAGCGACGTTTAAATTAGAACGCATTAATCACTTTGTACCACTAGAAACCTATTTGTATAAAATAAACCTAAAAATATGATCTTTCAAGATCATACAAGATCTTACAAGGTTCCGCACATCAGATTTCGCAGGAATCTTATAGCAAGAATCGTGTAAGATTTACACTAGCAGCTTATAGTAAGAAACATATTAAACCCTACTATAAGATATTTGTATGATTTTGTAGGATCATACACTACGATTCTTACGACATCTTATTGTCAGTAAGATCTTATACGATCTTTGTAAGATTTTTCCACCTGGGTGTCTAATAGAAAATTGGAAAAAAATATTTGATTCAAAATGTTTATTAAAAACTAAAAAGTCTTAACAACACGTTGGATTGGATAAGTGCCTTTCAACTTCTGAAATTCAGAAGAAGAAATTTCATCTACAAAGAAAGTTGGTTTTTTCTTTCAGGTTTTTATCGGATTTTGTAGCACTACGATCGGGCATTGTAAACGCGTAAGAATAAGATTTTCAAGTGACCGATTGAATTCGAAATCAACATTTTTCTAACATCTTTTGTTAGTTCAAATTTTTCACAACTAATGAATGACTTCGAAAAATAAGATTTTTTCCAACATTGAAGTTAGCAGAAACTGCCCATTTTATATGCAATTAAAGCTTATTGAGTTCTCTAAAAAAAACAAATTATATAAAACAGAATTTCGTTTCTCTGTTAGACATTATGAGAAAACCTTCGTTGAACATTGTAGACGAACAATCAACTTTTTAATAAAACTGTTTCCTTTGAAGTCTGTAGTTTTGTAACTGGTATGTTTTTCTATGATTAAAAAGTTCACGTTGTATCGGTTAGACTCACATATAATGTGCCTCCTAACATTGAAAACCGAGTACAAAAAAAATTAAACGAATGCACTTCTCATCTCTAGTTTTGAGTTCAGTTGAAAGGCACTTTTGGGTCAAACTTATACTTAAGGCTTTTTCGTCTTTGGTAACCATTTTGAATCAAATATTTTTCTAGTAGACACTTTGCTCTTTCTAACAAAACAAAGATTAAGTCTCTATGAAGATTCGCTGCCATGCTATATTGAAAAGAAAATTAATGCAAAGCTTTTGCATCATCCGTTATTTGAATTTTTTTTCTAAGGTGTATACACAGACAGATGGGATATATTCATTTGTAACAATTTTCCATTCAGTACCTATTTTCAATCATTATTCTTTATTACTTCTATCTCTCTGTTTCAATGCTTTTAATTCTATGTAAATCAATCTACTTTTGTTCATATTTTATTTAAATAACAAATTAATAATAATCAATCTATTTGTGTATGAGGAAAATAGTCTTTTATATATTCAGGAATTTGTTGTTGTTCACCAGAAAACTTGTCAGGATATCCACCATATTGTATTTCTGTACGTAAATTTACATAATTAATTTTTGCACAATTATTTCTTGTTCTATTTCTTGTGAAATTGTGTGTCACTTCTTTCACTAATCCATATATCATACCAACACGAACACCAAATGCTAAATCCATTTTAGTATCAAATAAGAATTGTTCATAATAATCTATGCACGTATCAATAAGATTAAGTTGTTTAAGATAAGGATATTTAATAATTGATAAATCTTGATTTCCATTCTTTGATTTTCTAAATTGTTTATTAATTTGTTGTTCATGATTACGTATAATTAATTCTTCCATGAATGGAAATGATTCAGCAATTCGAAGGAAAAATTCATGTTCAAAAGGACGTTCATCATGTAATGACACTTGACGAACATATTTAAATATTCCACCTGGAAAATTATTTGTTATCTTATTGTAATATTTCAGTTGATATGGATATGAATAAATATGACAATAACCATATTTTTCTTTTGGAAAATAATCAGTCCAATAAATAATTTGTTTATTATTAAAGTTACTAAATGTCTTTTGAATATGTTCATTTGATGGTAAATTAATTTCATTATAAAAACTACTTAATGAACAAATATTAAATGTAAATTTGTTTAATTGTGGCATATAATTAATAATATTCATCTTCAAATCATTATCATCAAAAAATCTTTTTCTTCTACCAACATTAATACACAAATCAAGTTTTTCTAAATTTGACATTCGCTGTAAAAGTGGTAAAACAAATTCATCATAAACAAATGTTATCATTTTACAGTGTAACCAAAAGCATTTTAAACTAGGTAGTTTTTTCTAGAAGAAAACAATATTTTATTAATTCATTTAAATTAGATATTAATTTTAAAAAATAATTTACTATGTTGTTAACTTCTCTATTCAAATCGCCAATGAGATCGAGATCAACATAAAGTGTATGAAGTTGATTGAAATGTCCATCAAGTAAATAAAGACAATCATAAAAAGTTCTCAAGGAGACATGTAATTCTAATAAATTTGTAGAAATAACAGTTGGACGTGTCAAAAAAAAGTATAATCGTTCATCCCAAATTGAAGATCGACCAAAATTTAAATATTGTAAATTAGGAAACATACTAAATATAAGATTAAATATAATTGCATTATTTTTTATTAGATAATCTTGTGTTCTGTTTGTACTAATATCGATAGTTAGTGATAAAATTTGATTATTCAATTTATGAATTATTGAAGTTTCTTCTAAACAAAGAGAAGAGTAAAAAATTCTTTTATATAAATGTTTATATTTATGTATACTTTATTAATTTTTTTAATAATGATATAATTTACATATTTGATTGTTTTTTTCTTTAGACTAATTTATTTATACTGTATCTTAAATGTTATATTAACTATCTATTTTATTCAACATTTTCTTTTTCAAAAATTTACTTGAAACTTTAAATTGAAGATAATATCTACGTATTTTATTTTGTTATATTAGTACTTAATAATCATTGAAGATTATCTCTTTAATGACAATCTTCTTCTTCTTCTCTTCATATTGACAAATACGAATCAAATGAAAAATTATTTTAAACTTAGTCATATCTGTAATTATCTAATTAATGAAACCAAACAAATTTATCTATGAATTTATTTCATTTATAGATTTCATATGTCGTCTATTATCGAAAGAATAAAAATATCTTACTATAGTTCGTTCAAAAAGTCCGTGCGTGTGACTATTTTTTGAA